GATGCATAAGGGACTAAAGCGTCAGAGGTGGTCTGTGGCCAGAATGAGCATTCACTAAAGTGTCAGGTAGTTTTGTGGCCAGCGTGAGGGTTTACTAAATAAAGTGTCAGAGTTGTTTAAAATCCCCAGGAACCACATACTTAAGGAGGAGTTTACTCCCACCACTGAATTCTCTGTGGATGTATGTCAGGTGCTCATGGAAAAAAACGGGATGCAGGTTTTAATACCTTAGAACGCCCATCTCCAGCTGTGCATGCTGCAGCCCTGCTCAGATGCCTACTCTAATGAATGCAGCTTTTCAACCACTTGAGAAAACATACCATTCTCTACTTCAGGGCCCTGGTGAAGAGCTCCTGGGGCTTGAGAAACAAGAAAAACCAATACCCTTGGAAGAGTGGTAAGAAATTGTCCTAGATGGAGATCATATGCAATCTCTATTGTTAAGGAAGGACAAAGTCACTGAGAATCCATATGTTTGGTATTTAGGAGCCCTCCCCATGTTTGAAGCCAGACTAACGCTATATCAACCACTCCTGGGTGCAACCTTTAAGTGATCAGACATTAAGCATCAAGTTAGGAGACCTGTGAAGAGCAGGCCTGAAGGTGAGGGTTGAGAAGACATCAAGGCAACTCTCCAGACACCAGCCCTCACAGAAATATGAAGATTTAGGGGAGATGCCTCAAAGCCTTGTTTGTGACTGACGCTTCCTTCCTCTGTGTGTACAACAGCTCTAAGTATATTCAGTGTTGTCACAGTTGGTCTGACTGAAGCTTGGGTTTGTCATGGAAGGTCTTTGGGTCTCCATCAGTTTGTAAAGATAATTTGACAAACCTGAGTAGCAGTTATTTGCTTCAGGGCTTGGATTATACTCTTCTATGCTTTTTTTTCTATTTTTATTTTATTTATTCTTTTGCTCCTAGAGTGTCTGTAATTCTGATGAGTTTGCCTTTGTAAGTAAGCGGACTCTTTTCTTTTGTCTTCTTTTAATGTTTTTTTTTTCTATTCCCCATAATCTTTTGAGATTATAATGTAATTATACCACTTCTCCCTTTCCATTCCTCCCTCCAGCTCCTCCAATATACCTCTTCTTTCTGTCTTTCAAATTCATGGCCTCTGTTTTCATTAATTTCATTCATATATGCATATACATATACCTAAATGCATAAAATCAAGCTGCTTAGTCTGTGTGACATAACTTGTATGTTTTCAGGACTGACCATTTGGTCCTAGAGTACAGCCAATTGCTGTACTCTTCCCTGGGGAAGACTGTCTCTCTGCTCTCACTATTCCTTAGTTGCCTCTTTGTTTCTAAATAGTCTGGATTTATTACTTTTAGAAACAAACCACACCAGGCTTCACCTGACTCCAGCAGAGAACATCATCCTTAACAGAAAATGGGTTTCTCTCTTTCACAGTTTCAGGGCTTCTGGTTCTAAGATAGTCTAGGACCTGATATGGTATATTCTTTCATGTGTGCATTCTAGATTCTTGTGTTTGTGCATGTCTGTGTGTGCATGTGTGGTATGAACATGGATATGTATGCATGAGTGTGTGTGTGAATGTGCATGAGAGAGAAAGACAGACAGAGAGAGACGGAGAATGAGAGAGACAGAGACAGAGACACACACAGAGAGAAATAGTAGCAGTAGAGATGGGACTGAAGATCCTAAAGAGCCAAGACCCTTGCCCAGACTCCTGCTGTGGCCATTCCCAGTCATGACCACCTGTAGGAAAGACCAAACTGGATGTAAGCCCCTTACTCAGCAGGATATGGCAGGATGTGTGGTGTTCCCGACATTGCTCTAATTATTGGGGGTCAACTACAAGATATCCTCCATATGGTAAGGAACCAATTAGAAGTTAGCGGGAGGGCTCTGGATGTGCCTTACTGATGAAGTAAAAAGTGATAACAATAGTAATGGCCCCCCCAGATGGCCTCCAAATGTAGCAACCTTCCCACAGCTGCCACTGGCTAATCCATCACCCCAGCCAATAGGTGCACCAATCCTGAGACTGTTATTAGGCAGCTTGCTGATCCCAGGATGACCCTCCCACTTTGCCCAATCTCAATATATGTTTTGTTCTCATGCCGCCTGGGTTGTGTCCTACTCCACCCGCCATGTCAGATGGATGAGGGACCTGGGTTTGAACTCGCAATTAAAAGATTCCTTGCTTTTGAATTGGATCTGGTTTCTTGGTGGTTGGGGGTTTGGACTCTGGGTACAGCAGAACCATGATAAATAAGGAAGAGATCCTTAAAGAGATGAGATAATAGAACAACTTGAGGACCCCACTGACCCAAGGCTTTCTTGGAGGCCCTGATGTACGGAGAAGAAACAGTTCTTTGAACTGACTGGTTTGGTGTGTTAACTTAATATACACTAGAGTCATCAGAGAGGAAGGAGCCTCAGTTGAGGAAATGCCTCCATGAGATTCAGCTGTAAGGCCTTTCTCAATTAGTGATCAATGGAGGAGGACCCAGCACATGTTATGTGGTGCCATCTCTGGGCTGTTGGTCCCGGGTTCTATAAAAAAGCAAGCTGAGCAAGTCAGGAAAAGCAAACTGGTCAGTAGCTCCCCTCCATGGTCTCTGAATCAGCTCCTGCCTCCAGCTTCCAGCCCTGCTTGAGTTCCTGTCCTGACTTTCTCCAGTGATGGACTATGACCTGGAAGTGCAAGACAAATAGACCCTTCTCTTCCCGATTTGCTTCTTCCTCATTCTCTTTCATTCTGGCAATAGAAACCTGAGCTAAGACACTCTCTAAATCAGGGGCATGTTTGGCAGAGTCAGTAATCGCCTGAATCCAAGGGCTTAGGAGCTTTTCCCTGAGGTTGTCAAGCAGGAGCATGAACACAGTTACTTCTCTAAACCCAGGAATACACTGAGCAGAGCCAGTAATGTTCTGGAGCCAGGCCTTCAGGGGAGGCGTGGCTTCGGATCCTGGGAACCCAGCTCTTCCCACTACACAGGGCTATAGTTATCAGTCCCAAGGCTGCTATGTGTTCGGTCTGTAAAGACCTTGAGATACCCCGTGTTCCTTTTATGCAACATTGCTTGATTAACTTTCAGGGGACGTCCTCCCGTTTTATGACAGTTTCTATTGGCTCTGTCCCATTTCTCGCCTAGGAATAATACTTAAGATGTTGTACATCTTAATAAACTTGCTTGGTGTAAGCTATAGCTTATGTAAGACCTCCTGAGCCCACCTTTTTTAGGTCCTTAACTCTGACCCCCGGACCACTCTCCATAGGACCCTGTCACTCAAGAACAATCTGATGGTCCAGCTCAGGAACCCGCATGACATGAAAAGCACAGGGGTTAACTAGTTGGAAGGATAATGAGGACATGCAAGAGGGGACTGTGAGGACAGAGTGGAAGAAGGATGAAAAAAATATATAATGATGTAGTTATGAAAATGCCAGATGAAATCTACTTTCTTTTTTAATTAATTAATTTATATTTTTTAAACAATCTTTTCTTGTTTTAAATGCCTATCCCAGTTCCCACTCCTTCCCCTCATCCTGCTCCCCCCCCCCCACCTCCTCCCACCCCACTCCCCACCCACTCCTCAGAGAGGGTTAGCCTTCTCATGGGGAGTCAGCAAAGTCTGACACATCATTTTGAGGCAGGACCAAGCCCCCTCCCTATACTTAGACTGATCAAGATATCCCTCCAAAAAGAATGGGCTCCAAAAAAGCCAGTTCAAGCACTTAGGGATAAATCCTGGTCCTGCTGCAAGTGACCCCACAGACTGCCCAAGCCACCCAACTGTCACCCACACAGCTGTCAGAGGGCCTAGTTGGGTCCTATGCAGGTTCCCCCGCTATCATTCCATGAGCTCCCACTAGCCCAGCTCAGCTGTTTCTGTGGGCATCCCCATCATGGACTTGACCCTTTTACTCATATTATCACCCCTCCTCTCTACAACTGAACTCTGGAAGCTCAGCCCAGAGCTTAGCTGTGGGTCTGTGCACCGGCTCCCATCAGTTACTGGATGAAGGTTCTATGATGACAATTAAGGTGGTCATCAATCTGATTACAGGGCAAGGCCAGTTCAGGCATCCTCTCCACTATTGCTTAGGGTCTTCGCTGGGGTCATCCTTGCGGACTCTTGGGAATTTCTCTGGTGCCAAGTTTCACGACGGCACCACAAAGGCTCCCACAATCAAGGTCTCTCTTTCCTTGCTCTCCCTCTCTATCCTTCCCCATCCTGAGCATTCCTTTCCCTCACGTTCTCTACTTTCTACAGATGATTTTTAAAAAGATATTGCAGACATTTAGGCAAAACAGAAGCCTTAACAAATAGCTAAATTGGGAAGCATTGCCACCTATGTTACCTTTGTTACACGTCAGTAGTGGGGAAGAGTTCAGCCTCTCATCCCAGAAGACTAATCTCACAGGCACCTTGGGGCTCTAGGCCTTCGGGTTTTCTTTCCCAGTTTCTTTCCTGTAGAAGGAAATCCCAGACATTTTGGTAAATGTTTGAGGAATGAATGGATAATGGGTAGATGGGTAGGCAGGATTAGACTATGGAGGGATATTTACTGTAGGAAGAGCCTGTCCCCTCAAGCAGAAGAAGGCTGGCTACTTGGCAGGAATCCTGCAAAGGCAGCATTTAGATATTAGGGGGCACTGGATGAAATGTAAGTAAGGTTGTTTCCAAATAGGGATCTAGAACTTTAGGAAGCAAAAATCCAGGGATGCTGAGAAATATGTCCGAATCTTGGAGCTGAGATGCTCTGAGGCCTTGAGTTGCTCTAAAAATCTCCCATCCCTCTCTGGGGATGCAAAACCAAAGCTTCCCCTGCCTGCTAAGCTAGTCTCTGCCTCTGGAGGGCTCACAACACTAAGGTTTGGCTGTCACAGGGAGAAAGCTTATGTAAGAAGTCCTTGGGTTAGTTTATGGACCTCTGTTATCTGAGAGTTGGGCAACGATTGTGCCAATAAGAGAGAGTGAACTCTGGGTGGGTGTGGCTAAGAGGTCCCACTAGATACCCACAGAGAGCTCTTGGTCAGGGATTTTCAACTGGTTTTCTTATGTAAATTGGCAGAGTGGGCAGGACTTCAGGGGCTGATATAAAGCTGTAGGCAGGATCAGTGCTTTCCTTCCAAGCACCAGGCACCTCACTGGACCCTGAGGTACTGTCCTTCCATGATGTGGCTCTGTGCGTTGGTCCTGATATCTCTCACTGCTTGCCTGACTCAGGGTGAGTACTTCTGGGTGCATATTTGAAATCCTTTGTCCTGAGCCTTGGTGAGTGCAGGCTCATTCAGGGAAAAACAAAAACAAAAACAGATCCTGTGTCTTAGAGGTGTTTGCCCTCTGGATGTGGACAGAAAAAGTGATCGAATCTAAGTTCAGTGATCTTGAACTTTGTGTCCTTGAGTGAGGAACTTAGCTTTGCAGTGCCGGCTCCTTCCCCTTTGGGCTGCAGTGGGGGTGAAATGAGGGATTGTGTCTGTGGTCTCCCAGTGGTGGTCGGTCTAGAAGAGGTAGGTCTAAAAAAGCGGGGATTTAAAATAGAGTATGTCCATGGAAAGTTTCACGTGTAAAATTCATCCAAGAGCTGCATTTGAAAAGACGATTTTTCCCCCTGAGAGTTCCCTGAAAAGGGGGTGTATGTATCAAGGAATTAGGACAAAGGGGGAATTCTTGGCTGAGATATCGGGCGCTTAAAAGAAAGCTCACACTGGCTCAGAACTGAGAGATAGACAGTTATTTATTTTAGGGGAAAACTTACAAATCCGGATTCTCTGCTTTGGATCTTGATGGAGATCAGATCCAAAAAAGCTGAAGAAGCGAACCAGGACCAGGGGGTGGAGTGTGGGGAGGGTGTGGGGGGCGGGGGTGGGGCGGGGACGGAGAGCAGAAGGGGCCGGACGCGCTTAGGCATCCGGGTAAATAGTCAATGAGGCCACGCCCCAGTAGGCGGGTAAACCTTCCTGCAGCCGAAATCAATGGTATCAATCAGAAGTCTGAGACAGAACAGAAGCTGTTAGCAAGGGTCTGTTATGGTTTACATGGTTTACATGACAGAGAAGAGAGGAGTCAGGGGACAGAGGTGTAACCTTAACTAGTTGGGGCAGTTCCAGGGGACATGGGGATGAAGAGACTGTGTTTATTTTAAGTGTACTAACTCTGTGTGATCAAGATGGGTTAGTGGAGGAACAGGCTGAAGGACCCAGGTAAGTAGGTGGCTAGGGGTATAGTTTTGGGGTTGTTAGACCCTTGGGGTGCAGTTTATCCCAGATGAGCAGGGCATCAGAGGTCAAAGCAACAGGTATAGAAAGCAGATCCGTGGTCAGTACAGTAGTAATGGGACCTCAGGACCCATTTGCACCACTGAGGCTTCCTGGGGAATGTGCTCATCCAAGGCTTCCTAGAATCATCCCTCACTCTCTCTCCAGCTCCAGAATCTACAGCAGTGCTTCCCCGTTAAGGGTCATGGCCTTGTTGAAATTTCTAGACTTTCCTTCTGTTTAGCTGTGTGATACTGTGAGAGGCTGAGATAGAGTAGGAGGCGGAGTGAGAAAGGGTTCGAATTCGGAGAGGATCAGATCTACGCTGCTTATTGCCCATACACCTCGAAATGACCACCTAAATTCTCTCTTCAGGAAGTTCATCCAGTCTGCTTGCCACTCCTGCTCCTTCATCTTTGCTATGGCTTTGGTAACTCCTACTTAGCAGTGTGGGTTTTTTTTTTGGGGGGGGGGGAGGCATCTGTATGTACTTGTAGCACACCGTAGGTGATCAATATGTGCACATCCCACATTATTTAAGCAACATCTAGATTTTTGTTTGAGCTTCCACCCCATCCATTCTATCTTCTACTCAGAGCCATTTAGATTCTTCCCACTTCATTTGGGTAGAAAATACTCATTGAGTTAGCATAAGCCACACCTAGCGGTTTCTTCTGCCTTCTCCCTCTCCTCAGGACTCTTGCTGGTCCCTACCTCCCTTCCCCTTGGCCTTTCATCTGCCACCACCTTGGTAGGTGTTCTCATTCAGCTCCAGTTGTCCCTGGGCTTCACACTTGGTTGCTACAGTATACAAATGCATAGTGTGCACTCTCATTTTCATGCAGTGAACTTGACCTATCCCTCACTGACCTCCTTCCAGCCCTGAAATTCCCCTGTCTGGGGGCATCTTCCTGCTCAGAGATCCTCCAGCTGCTCCTGTCTTCCAGGAAGACAGCAGCATGCTCTAGTTCTTCTGTCTTCTTTCTCTTTAGGCCCCATATCTATTCAGGAAGTAAGTCTACCTTAAAGTTCCCTATATACATCTGCATATCTCTGTGGATCTCTTTCCCTAATTATAGAAGAACTTATTCTGGTAGAGACCTCTGGGTCATCACGCTTAAAGCTATGAAATGAATGTCCTAGAACTCTGTTGTGTTCTCGATCCCATAGCTATTTTATTTATTTTTTATTTATTTGTCTACTAAATAAAGCCCTCTGGTCAGGAATTCAGAGTCCTTCATGATATGTATCCGATAATACAAGATTACTGTCTACTCCCCTTGGATTGCACCTGGTGGTATTCATGCACCATCTTCTCTTCCTAGAAGTGGCCAGTGTTATGCTGTATCTAGGCTGCTGCACCTAATGTTCATTTGTGTTAATACCTGTCCCTTTCCATCTTCCCACCTCTGCTGCAGGGCTGAGGCTCTCTATGATAAAACCAATAAGAAGGCCTCATTCCTTCTAATCTCTCCTTCCTATCCCTCTCCCAAGTTACCACCTTTTTCTTATGTGAGTTGTCAGTGGCCCATCATATGAGGTCAGCATCCTGAGGATATGCTCACCTTCCTCATTGCCTCATTCAGCATACAGCTCATGTCTTCTTTATTTTACATGAAGCAAAGCTGTAGCCAAGAGGATTGAGTGACTTATTCAGGGTCACATACCTAGAAAGTAACAAAGCCTACCTGGAGTCTAGGTCTGGCTTTTCTCTCCTGATGTGTCCTCTTTCTCTTGTCCAGCAGGGCACCCATCCTCACCACCCATAGTGAACACTGTTCATGGCAAAGTCCTGGGGAAGTACGTCAGCTTAGAAGGATTCTCACAGCCTGTGGCCGTCTTCTTGGGAGTCCCCTTTGCCAAGCCTCCTCTTGGATCCCTGAGGTTTGCTCCACCACAGCCTGCAGAGCCTTGGAGCTTCGTGAAGAATGCCACCTCCTACCCTCCTATGTAAGCCACTGGGGCCCTAATAGGGGACATTGTCCTTGTAAATATAAGCAATATCTTTCCAACTGTCTTAGCTCCCTCTCTATTTGCCGTGTAGACACCATGACCAAGGCAAGTATGGGAGAAAAGGTATATTGGGAGCTTACAGTTTCAGTGGATGAGTCCATGACTGTCATGGCAGGGAACATGGTATCACTCCGGCAGGAATGGTGTTGGAGCAATAGCTGAATGCTCTTATCTTAAAACAACAGTCAAGAGGCAGAGTTGGCAGAGCTAACTGGGAATGGTTTCGGCTTTTGAAACCTCAAGCCCAGCCCCAGAGATACACCTCCTCCAGCAAGGCTACATCTCCTAATCCTTCCCAGCAGTTTTGCCAACTGGGTACCAAGCATTCAAATGTGTGAACCTATGGGGCCATTCTCATCTAAGCAACCACACTGGCTAATTGTCCTTGGGGTAGTTGTCTAACATCTGTGCCTTAAATTTCTATTCTATAAATGGAAATCATAACAGATGTCTGGGATTGGTGTAGGCCTTAAATGATTTCTATTAACAAAGAGTAAGTGCTTACATGCTTGAAGGACCCATAATTACCATCAGTTCAACTCTGGATTGGACCTTTGAGCTCTCTTACCAGGGCAGCCACAGTGATTTCTGGGCTATGAAAAAAAGTAGAATATTAGCAGGCCAGGGCTGCAGGACCCTTAGTGTCAATACTTTTCCCTAGACCCAGAATTTTGAGTGTCTTTACCCAAGGGCACCCAGCATATTAGTGGTTGAAGCAGAATAAAGGTGTAGTTTTCCTAAGCTGTGTTATTCATAAAACACAGTTCCTGACATATACAGAGTATGTTTGTCATTAGAAGTCGTACCATTGGTTGATGAAAGTGTCCCAGGGATTAGAAGATGTTTACCTGATGGAGTACTATGTCACCCTGTAGCCAGCCCACTGTAGAAATTCCAGTAGGGACTTAAACATGGCATCAGTCTAAGCCATGCAGGAGATGTCATGATCATGGACAGGCCAGCATGTGAACTCTTCTCTCCTGGGCCTAGGATATAGCCAAAGGCTCTGGGAAGGGAACAGATGTCAAGTCCTTTTTACTCTGCAGAGTTGGAAGGTGCTAGAGAATCCAGAGTTTCCTCCAGAAGCATGTAGACCTTCTTACACACTCCTACTAGCTTCATTAACAAACTCAAACCTCCCCGTGCAAGGTTGGGCCTCAGACAGCCTGCCCACCTTCCATCTGGTGGAACGTGGGTGTCCTCTATCTTTCCTAGGTGCTCCCAAGACCCAGAGGCAGGGAAGATGCTCGCCAAGCTCTTCACCAACAGAAAGGAGACCATTCCTCACGAGTTTTCTGAAGACTGTCTCTACCTGAACATTTACACCCCTGCTGACTTGACAAAGAGCAGCCGGCTGCCCGTGAGCATGGGGCCACTGGTCCAGCATTGGACTCTTCTGTGCCCCTGGAAGGGAATAAGGGCATCTGGGGGCAAGGACATTACAGTCCAGGCCTGAATCCAAACCTTCTGTTTACCTCCAAAAAGACAAAGGTTTCTTTCCTGTCTGTTTGAGTGCATCAGACTCTGCAGGAGGTTGCCCTACATCCGAGAGTCCCATCTTACTCTTCCAAGCTCTCTCACCCTAACAAAGACAGTGATATCAAGTCTTACTTACAATGGAGGGAGAACATGATCCCAGAGTAGCTAAGACATAATTTCAATAAATTGAAGCTGAAAACAAAACTTTAATTTTTTAAAAAAATTCTATGTGATAGTTCACATGAAAGAAACTGATATTCTGGTGGAGGAAGCTCGGGCACACAGTTGGCAGGCAGGGCTATAGCATGGGCCTTTGGACCTTTAAAACAAAAAAACAAACAAACAAATCTGTGCTGTTTGATAAGGAGTAGCAAAGGTAGCTGGAATGTCACCTTTTGACTCACAGTACCTGTGATTACTTACATTGGCCTGTGACAGAGGTGTGAGGGGAGGAGCTGCGGGCAGCCTCTTTTGCCTTTTGTCAGTAATCCTGGGCTTTATTGCAGGTCTCTGTTATCAGTTACTGCCTTTGGCACAGGCAGAGGGTGCCGTGAGTCAGCGTTTCCCACAGAAATGAAGGGCCTGAGATGGGGCAGGCTGCCATTTGCTGGCCAGTGGTTGGGAAAGGGGCTTTGGGAAGAGGCAGTCTCTGGGGTGTAACAAGCCAAATGCCAATGCCCTGCCAGTCTCCACGGACAGGAGTAGGCAGAAGAGACTTTGAAATTCTGGCAGACAAAACACTTTCTTTTCTTAGCCGATGCATGGGGAATTGGTCTCTATTTCATATAGAAGCAGCATATTTCATATAGAAGCAACTTAGTGCAACTCTGGGTTCATAGTACACATTATGAGTTCTTTTAAACAAATAGGATTTTGTACTCTGCTCTGTAGGTTAAATCACACACACACACACACACACACAAATTGCAAACTTTTGCATCCTTTTAACTTCAAGTGTCTTTGGTACACAGTAGTTTCTTAAGTAATATTAGCCAGAGGAAGCAGCAGTGAGCTGGACTAAGCAAGGTGGAGGATTCAGGCGTATCGAGGAGACACTGTAGAAGCAGGACCACTAGGCTAGTGTGTTTCTCATCGTGCAATCAGTTCCCTACAGAGAAGTTAAATTTACCATTGAAAGGTTAGTGACATTAAATGAAGTGGCAGTCCAAGCGCTGCTTCTTGCTTTTGTTCAGTTGGTTGAACACCCCAGGCTTGAGGTCATGGGGTTGTGGGGAGAACATGATGTCCTTGGTCCGTGCTCTTTGCATGATGGTTTTCTCAACTTAAATCGCTAAAGGATGGAAATGAGGAGAAAGATGGAGACATTGAGTGTCAAGGCATTTTAGGCTGATCTCAGAGAGGTGGAAAGGAGAGTGACTGCTTATTGCAGCCTTTCTGGACACTAGTGTGTTTGGGGTGACATCCTTGAGTCACAGCCTAGATGCAGGCGATCAAACCAGATGACTTCTGCAGTCTTTGCAATTCTGCTACCAATGACCAGTGTAACCGATTATGTTATTGTCTAGGTGATGGTGTGGATCCATGGAGGTGGACTGGTGATCGATGGAGCATCAACCTATGATGGACTGCCCCTTGCTCTCCACGAAAATGTGGTTGTTGTGGTTATTCAGTTTCGCCTGGGTATCTGGGGATTCTTCAGGTGATATATTTCCTCAAGTCCTATTGTTGCCAAATGTTAACACAGCATAGACCAGGACTCCCACACTGAACCCTTGGTGGGCAAACCATGTACAAACCCTAGGGATCAGTACAAGGCCTTGTTACAACCTTAGTCCCTTGTGTCAAGCCTGATATTGTTATAACCATCAACTGTTATAAATAGCTATTTTAATGTTAGCACTGTCCTGCACAGGGCAAGAGTGTTCTGGAAGACTGATTAAGTAATTGTTTCTCTCCAGCATGCTTCTGTGTTACACAGATGTCCTTGTCAAGGCCCACAGCCCCCATTCTGACTGCATCTCACACCAGCTACGTTTGCACTTTTTTCCTCCCGTGACCCTGAGGCCTTTGTATCCACTGTGCCTCCTAACTGCTGTTCTTTTCTTCAGAGGCACAAACACATGCCCTGATTTGCTCTCTGTTGCTGTGTTAGAACACTGACCAGAAGCAGCTTGGGGGAAGAAAGGACTTATTTGGTTTATGCTTTCAGGTCCTAGCTTATCCCTGAGGGAAGTCAGAGCAGGAAATTAAGCAGAAACTGAAGCAGAAGCCAGGAGGGATGCTGATTCCCAACTTTCTACATCCTCATCCTCAGCCATCTTTCTTATGTAACCCAGACCTACCTGACTAGGGATGGTGCCATCCATTGTGGGCTGGGCTCTCCTACATTCATCCTCTGTCACAACAACCTCACAGACATAGCCACAGGCCGATCTGATCTGGGATATTCTCATTCTTCCGTTAAGGTTTCCTCTTCCCAGGCGGTTCTGGACTGTGTTAAGTTGGCAGCAAGAACCAGCGCAACTCATTTACATGATTTATTCAGGTTTCCCATAAGTGATGCTGCCTCAATGACACCTTTCCTTGCTGTGCAATCTAAAGTGCCACCCTTTAGCCCGACTGCTATGTTCTCTTTACCCAATTATGTTTTTCCACTGTCTGTCGTCATATTCTGTTTCCATCTGTTGGCCTGTGGTGTACAGTAGGAGTCGGTGTAGTCAGAGGTTTCATGAGTTTTGTTCTCAGATGAGTTGCACATTTTAAACCCTGGTTGTATGCATGGTGACTTCTGATCACCTGGTTTCTGGACAGTGAGTGTAGATCCCCACTCTGAAGGTTGCTGTAGGGATGAACAGCAGGTGAATACCCTTGTCAGTGATGTGGGACTGGCTTTTTCTCAGAAGCCTCACCTAGAGTCCCAATCTCTCTCTTAGAGCACAACCATGACATTTCTAAATCTACCCACTATTGTCTTACAGCACAGGCGATGAACACAGTCGGGGGAACTGGGGTCACTTGGACCAGGTAGCTGCACTGCGCTGGATCCAGGACAACATTGCCAACTTTGGGGGCAACCCAGGCTCTGTGACCATCTTTGGAGAGTCAGCAGGAGGTGCGAGTGTCTCTGTTCTTGTAAGTGTCCCTGATACCAGGCCTCGTGTCCAGGCTTGATGTCTGCTGAGGAGATCTCTTACAGACCAGTCAATCCGGCCTTGGCACTTTTGCTCTTGTAACCTGGATTCAGGTTGACTCCGCTTATCAGTCAGCATCAGATAGTGGCTGGCTAAAGATTAAACTTTCCTCAGCTCCCAGGGAACTCAGAGTTCAGCTCTGTGTCATGGGCCATAAAAAGCACCAGTTGTACACTGCACCATGCCACATCTCCACTTCTGACTTATTTAGATTCTCTTTGTTAATTAGACTAACATTGGGGCTGGTTTCTCTCAAGAAATGTTGGGTGTAAACTCCAAATAGAAAGAGGGAGGGCATGAGTGTAATTATTTGGTTAAAGCCTGGGTCTGCACAGTGAGGGACTCAGGCACCCAGCAGCCTGGGTCTGCACAGTGAAGGGACCCGGGCACCCAGCAGCCTGGGTCTACACAGTGAGGGCCTCGGGCACCCAGCAGCCTGGGTCTACACAGTGAGGGCCTCGGGCACCCAGCAGCCTGGGCCTACACAGTGAGGGACTTGGGCACCCAGCAGCCTGGGTCTACACAGTGAAGGGACCTGGGCACCCAGCAGCCTGGGTCTGCACAGTGAAGGGACCTGGGTACCCAGCAGCCTGGGTCTACACAGTGAGGGACTTGGGCACCCAGCAGCCTGGGTCTACACAGTGAAGGGACTCAGGCACCCAGCAGCATGGATCTGCACAGTGAAGGGACTCTGGCTCTCAGAAGAAGTAGGCCTGTCTTCAGATGGTCTTTCTATGCTTTCTATGCTCAGGAGGAAAGGTGGCAGTCTCTGAATTATATGGTAGAAAGTGAGACATAAAACTGGAGGGCATTGAGGGGAGCAATGGAAAGCACTGGTGACTTCTAAGACCATCCTATCTCACTCTGAGTTGAACAGAGAACCACCCCATCACTGCATCTTCAAATACACTAATTTCATATTTTGATTGTCAAATGATGCTGGGTGATGGTGCATATCTATAATCCTGTCACTCAGAAAGCTGAGGATTAAAGGCCACAAGATAAAGGTCAACTTTGACTAAAGAACTAATTCTTGCCCATTCTGGGCTATTTGGCAACAAGTTTTTTCTTAAGTGGGAAGCAGTCTTCTGTAGTATTCTCTCTCTCTTTTTTTTAGAAATGTATAGTATTCCAAAGTGAATATAAAACATTATTTACCCAATCACATTATACCATTGGACTATTTCTAATTTTAATATTACAAATAATAGGAGCACACTTATTTTTCATGAGCCTCTGTGATCACTTTTCTTGGGATAAATTCTGAGTAATATAATTCTGAAGCAGAATTTGTGACTAAGAATTGTCCAATTGTCTTTCCAGTGGTTTGATTGTAGAGAAAGGCTCTTGCCATGTTCTTTTTGTTTGGTTCTTGTTTTGGACTCTGTCTCCACTGTGTTGCGTGTCTTTTTGGAGGAGAAGGTGGTTCCAGGGTGACCCTAGGAACAGGATACTTTTATGCCCACAGAGCACCGGGGTCCCTAGATGAATGGCCATGGCAGCAGAGCCCTAAAGAGTAAACGAATCTCAGATCACTCCTTTGTGTGCAAACCCTCTTCTCTTCTCCCTGCCAGGTGGTGTCCCCACTGGCCAAGAACCTCTTCCACAGGGCCATCTCTCAGAGCAGTGTCGTCTTCAATCCTTGCCTGTACGGGAGGGATGCCAGGCCCATGGCTAAGGTAGGAGCTGCCTGGGACAGCTACTGCACCCTTTAGTCTACTACCTTGGGTCCTCAGCAGTCTTTCTTGCTGCAAGATTCAGCTGAGGCTCTCAAGGGATGCCTGAATAAGAATGAATGAACAGGAAGGGCTGGTTTATTACCCACATCTTAAGCCACATTCTCCACTTATTAAAGGTTCCATGTTGAGTATGTTATCCAGGACTCCAGCAATTCTGCACACACTTTAGTGTATTGGAGACATGATCACGTCCTGTGCATGTCACATCTAATCATCATCCTGATCTGATGGAAAGTGAAACACAGGGGGATTGAATGAACTGTCTGGCAAGTGGTAGAGGTGAGGCTAAAATCAGGCAGTGAAACTCTTGATTTTAAACCTTTAACATCCAACAGATTCTCTAAGAGACATTTTATTCCTAGAATATCCCTCATCCTTTAGTGGTCCTGGCAATAGACATTGGGCCCATTTTTGTCAGAACAAGGTAACAGAGACATAGATCTTGTGTAACCAGCTCTATCCATGTCTAGTCAGCAGTAGAGGTTACTCTGGTACCCAGCCCCTACACTTGTTCCTTTAGACTACTTTCAGCAACCCTCTACCATCTTCAGAAGTCAGGCATGGGCTAGAAGCCACAGTCTACATGGAGGGAGCCAAAGGATGTGCTCTTGACCCCTGTTCTCTTATAGAAAGTGGCTGCTCTTGCTGGCTGTAAAACCACCACCTCAGCTGCCATGGTTCACTGCCTGCGCCAGAAGACAGAGGATGAGCTCTTGGAAGTCACACTGAAAATGGTAGGTGTGCCCATCCTTGTGTCCCTACCCTGTGATCTTGGCCAAAGGCTTAATTCATTCAGCTGTCTTCTGAAATAGCTTTTCCCTTCTCAGGACAGTGTCAATATTGTGATGTAAATTAAATTAGTTCTCACTGCTCCCTTAACAGAAAATAAATGTAAATAATAAATAAATAAATACATCTAAAAGTGCTCAGTAAGAACATTATAGAAAATTCCATGATCATCCTTCAGCTTATCAAAGCTTAATATCATGGTATTCTTATTTTCAGGTATATTTTAAATTATACTTCTACACCTAATTGCCAAAGTGAATTAGGGGTGGTGAGGGCATGAAATACCAGGCTTCTAAGGCAAATGTCACATACAATCTAGGACTACCTGTCCTGGAAGGTATCACCCACAGTGGGCTGGGCCCTCCCACATCAATCATTAATCAAGCCCTCCCACATCAATCATTAATCAAGAAAATCTCCCAAAGACATGTCCACAGGCCAATGTAACAAAGGCCATTCTATAATTGAGATTCCCCCATCTTAGATAACTTTAGTTTGTGTCAAGCTGACAAAAATTTGCCAACACAAGATTTTCCCAGCTTTCTACTGTCTATTCATTCATCCTTAACCAATTTTATTAATTATTTTTTCATTAATCTAGTAGAGCTCATCTAAAATGTTTAATTCTTCTATTTTCAATCTATCTCATCTCTATTACTCATCTGGCCAAATTGTATCTATGTGCCTCCATGCAGACCTTCAAAACCATGGTCTGTAGGATTCCTCTCGAGGCCACAGAAGCTCTCTGGCCCTGTGTTGTTTCTGCTTGTCCACAAACTGAGCCAATGCGAACATAGGGCTTTCACTGTCAGGCTTAGGTTAGGTGTTACAAGAATTAAGAGAAGGCTATTGTCTAATACTCAGAGAAAAGGCAACTATTTTAGCCACTCTCCATATGACACAGGTGACTCAGCTTGCACAGGAATGGCTGGTGATTTTGAAGAAGCCAAGAGAACCCCATATCCAAGAACATGCTACAAGTTTTAGGATCTTATAGGAGTTCTTCCATGATTATCTATTGGTACCAGCATGCATACACACATACTTGTATGCATGAGCATGCACATACATACATCATACTCATGGACTGTGGGACTCCAATGCACAATGGAGGCATTGTAGTGATTGTTTCCCCCATGCAGGTGAACCCAGTTAGCTAGAGTGTAGTGATGTAATCACTGTCAACCTTACAATAAAGAAAAGCATGGGTTACAATGAGTTCCAGTAATCTTGGAAGTGTACATTTTCTGATCCCAGATGAGAATGTTCTTCAATGTCCCTTGAACAGGAAAATGAATGCTTTGTAAGAGACTCCTTCAGCAATTGAAATGTTCTGGGACAAATGGTCTAGCCCGGGCTATGTCTAGATGTTCTGAAAATACTTAGGAATGCACCACGTCTATTACTCAGTTTTCTGTTCTTTTCTTTTCCCCAGCATTTCGGAGTCATACCCTATCTGTTTAGAAGGCATTTTTCCTTAATTTAAACAATAGTCTGGTGGACTGACATGGTTTATCCAAGATTTCTGATTTACATGGAAGGAAACTGTTGTGGAGGGGCAGGCTAGGTACCCAGACACCTGGGAAGACATGGTGCTGCTTTAAACCACGCAAGGGACCTTGTGGATTGTACTTGAGAAATGAAGGGTTAAGATGGGGTTGTAATCTGGAATCTTCTTTACCTGTCCCTCATACTTGAGATCTTGTATAGTTGCCTGAATTTATGAAGCAGGAATGAGGAAAGGGGGACAGTGGTGGAGGGGCTTCTAGTCTATCCCAACTGTAGCCTTATCCCCACAACTCTATATGCCTCCTACCACCACCTTGACCTAATTCCACTACTCTGCAGAGGAGACATTGGAGTATTGTCGCCAGTGAGAGGAGTTGAGGTGAGGAGCACAGCAATTGGAAGCAAACATCCTTTCCAGAGTTCCTAAGACCCTGAGTGGGTCCCAAAGTCTGTACCTTTGCTGCCACTACTCAATCATTTGGATCCTCCCTGTGACAATGCCCTGAGGACCCTGACCTTGTTTCAAATCTATTTCTATGATAAAATAGCATGAGAAAGCAATTCCCCTAGGGAGAAAGGGTTTATTTTAGCTCACAATTCCTGGTTGTAGTCTATCATTGTGGGGAAATCAGCATGGCAGTTGATTGAAGGAGCTAGTCACATCCCATCCTCAGTTGGGAGCCGAGGTGAATGAACGCATACATGCTCTCTTGCTTGCTTGTGCTAAGTTATACAATCTTATACCCGGCTAGCTGCCTAGGAAATGGTGCCCCCTACAGTAGTCTGGATCTTCTACACCAATTAAATTTCTTAGGACAATTTCCTAAAGACAAACCCACATTCCAAGTCAATGTAGAGTCTATCCCATTGAAACTCTCCCCACGAGTGGTTTTAGGTGGTACCAAGTTGACATTTAGAGATGACCATTTAGAGACTTAGGATAAGGTTCTCTTGATCTTGGGCCTAGCCAAGGAAAACTCTAAAGAAAGAACCTAATACTTCTAAGGCCAAATTCTAAATATCAGCTTTGGACAAGGAAGTTTTCTCACCCAATTTCTCTGCCTTTGTTTCCACAGAAGTTTGCTACTGTTGACTTGGTTGGAGACCCCAGAGAGGTAAGGGCCTTTGCTTTCTGAATTACAGGTACTGAATCTTATAATTAAGGACTAATACTCATTTGTAGAACAGTACAAATCTGTGTGTGCAAGGCTGAGGTCCAGAGACTTGTGATGGTAACATGATTAAGAGGACCAGGGGCAGGATCAAGATGACCTGTTTCCCAGTGCAGTGTTCCCACTCAGCAACTCAGTGTCCCCCAGAGTCACCTGTGCCCCTCTAAGTGACATTTCCTGCTTTTATAATGATCCTATAGAGTACGATGCACCAGAACCTTTCATGTTCCAGAGACAGATGGCTGAGGAGCCCTGGAGCCATCAATAGGGAGTACGGGTCCCCTGAAAGGACACAGGAATGATACACTGTGAAGGAGGAGACTTTGATCTCAGTGCTGAGGATCCCATACTCTTTCCACCAGCCTGGAAACTCCAACTTTGCCCTTCTTCTCATCCTTCATGCTCTCCTAGCCCCTAGCACTGGCCAGGAGACTAGTTCTGCAGTATCTTCAGTCATGGGTAGTTGACTAGGTTTACAACTGACCTCTACAGCCATGGGTAGTTGACTAGGTACAGCTATGACCTCTAAAGCCATGGGTAGTTGACTAGGTTTACAGCTATGACCTCTATAGCCATGAGTAGTTTACTAGATTTATATCTATGACCTCTACAGCCATAGGTAGTTGACTAGGTTTACAGCTATGACTTCTACAGCCATGGGTAGTTGACTAGATTTGCAGTACTAAGCGTGGTTTCCTCAAGCCATATCCAGGCTTGTGGGGTATGGAGAGATAAGATGCTGTGGTGGGGCAGTTAAAATTTTCTTAAACTAGCATACAAAATATTAAGTTTAATTATGGTATTTTCAAACAAAATAATTAATTAATATGAATTAAATTTGCTTTTAAACAATTTTAAATTCTGTACATGTGTGCAATACATACTAACCACTTTTACCTCCAACCTCTCTAAAACCTACTAGCTCCCTTTGTTCCCACACATCTCTCTCTTACATTCATAAGTATTTGCTTCATTTTGCAACCCAGTTAGATTATCCAGGGCTGTCTGTGTGATCATGAGTTTGGTGGGTTCAGCAGGTTGCATACAAGACACTGGCTCCTCATCACTAGAGTCTATTAATAGTCAATAATGCAGAGCTAAAGGACAGAACCCTTCTTCCTTGATTTATTGTTGATAGGGCCTACCTCGTACAGGTCCAGTGCAGGTTATAGATTATTAATAGAAAGTGCTGTCTAGAGAAGGTGGTTTCACAGGCCTTCACTCTGTCTTCCAATATTACACACTTCCTGCCACATCTTCCAGAATGTTCCCCCAACCCTTAGCAAGTGTGGTATACATATCTCACTCAGGCCTAGGAAGGACAGTCACAGACACTATATTTCCATTTTCCCAGAGCTATCCCTTCCTGCCCACCGTGATTGATGGAGTATTGCTGCCAAAGTCACCAGAAGAGATCCTGGCCGAGAAGAGTTTCAACACTGTCCCCTACATGGTGGGCATCACAAAGCACGAGTTTGGCTGGCTCATTCCAATGGTGAGAACAAATGGCCTCTTATACAGGTGTGCTCACAATCGCAGCCATGAACCCCCTGCTGCTCAAGTGCCTTCTTCTTACTTCAGTGTTCTTTGAAACCAGAACATATGTCCCCATTGCCATGAGTGGGTATTTCCATGGCAGTATCACCCAGAAAGCCCAACTATCCTATGGGAACCTTAGTCCTGGAAACCCCTCTCCCCAAACACTACCTTTCCTTGACAAGTCCTGAAATTCATAAGCTGGAAGGGCCAGAAATAATGCCCATGCTGATGGAGCAACAGAGGACATCTATGAAGGAGAAGACGCTGGTGGGCAGGGGTCAGGCTGGGGCTCAACAGCTTCCACCTTAGAGTTGAACTCTCAGGCCCTGGGAGATCTCCACAGGGGCTCTGAAGGGCCTCAATCACCTAGAGTCAGAGAGAAGTCATTGAGTTAGTTCTGAAGTCCAAGCAGGATCGACTCTTTAATATGTCAAAGAAAAGGTCAGACTCAAAGAAATCCAACTGGGTACTTTCAGCTTACTTTTGGTAGAATGACTGAAATATGAAAAAGAGAAGGTGTGGCTTGAGCAGGTCCCTGACTCTGATATCTAGAGAGGTTTCAAGGTTGGGAGCTCAAGGAGTGACGTGAGCATTGAGTCTGACACAAGACTATTGAGTTCGGTTCATGCTCTCTCCTCAGGACTGGAAGTTGAAGTAAAACTCTCACCACAGTGAGTTCCTGTCCTCCACAGTAGCCATAAAAGAAACTGAGTATCATCTCCCCCAGATGTTTACATTTCCAAAACTTTTCAAATGTCAAGCAAATTTTTTTCTCAACTCTCAAGAAAGTAATTCTGGAAGAAATTATTAGCTTGCAGAACAGAGAAAGGACTGGTAACCACAAGAGTTTTAACTCTCCAAGAGAGGGCTCAGGGGTGAATCTGCCTATCACCAAGTGCAGGTTGAAACATAGAGTAACTTCCCCTGACTGTCCTGAGCTGATGTCATGATAGGGCGCAGCTGTTAGCTGCTAGAATAGAGTCGAGTCTCTGGTTGCAGATGTTTGAACAAGGTATGGACACACCACTGGTGCTATAACTGCTCTGGAGAAGAGCTTCAGGGATAATAAAAAGTGTACAGTCACAGGCTGGCTTTGGCTTCTTCAGTCACTTGAACTGTGGGCAAACACACACACAGACACATATTGAAGTATTTATAAACAGACAGATATAAAATATGTTCCTTACAAAGAAGATATTCTATATTAATATAGACATTATATAATAAATACACATAGAACATATATATACAATATGTGGATATATAATATATTTAATATAAATATAAATAAATGTTATATAATATGCATTCATGTTCATATTCATACTGTATATGATACATATTATATTTTACACAGTATATACACACAGCCACATACACCTATGCACACACGCACACACAACAACACACACCTTTTCATTTCATTTGTTTCATTGGTTACTTATTCAAACATGAACTTTAATACCAATTAAGACTCAGGAGAGAAGTTTCCTTCTGTATTGATTTGACTGTTTGGCTGTTTTGATTCTTGTCATTTCCCCATAATTCATGACTGTTCATAAACATTTCTTTAACAGTTTCAGGGCTTACCACTCTCCGAAGACAAACTGGATCAGAAGACAGCCGCTTTCCTCCTGTGGCAGGCTTACTCCATTCTAGTAAGTGTTGAGGGAATCATGGAAACTGGCTGAGAAACAAAGAAGTCTGTATATTTTCCCTGAAACACACACTTATTCAGTGTCTGGAAAGGCCTAGGTGCGGGGCTCAGTTCCAGCTTGCTGTTTTTCCCATGTTAAAGTGAAGAAACTCATATTTGTGAGTTGCAGCTCAACCCCTCCCAGCTGGTGACTGCAGGCAAGTTCCCCGAAAAAAAAATTAAAGATAGTAAACCAAATAAGGTGAAGGCAGGGATTGGTGGCATAAGACTTACATAGGTGCTATGAGGCTCATAGAGAAGGGGACACCACTGGTGGTTGCTGAGTTTGTGTTCTCTGCACATCTGACACGTAGGGTGCTGTTATCTGCAGGCCCCTGGGTACCCGTGAAGCTAAAGAGAAGCTATAGCTGCAAGATTTATGACTTGTATCTTTTCTATTCCATTTCCCAGGAATATTATATTTTGAAGTTAATTTATTGGATACCAAAAGTGTCTTTCTTCAGAGAACAAGGGAAGACAACAAAACTTGCGTTTGCTTAAGGACGCAGGGTGGTATACATGTCTGTGTGTAGAGAAAGGCACCCTTCATTCAGGACAGAGCTTGAGAAATCACCCACTGGATAGCAGCCCTCAAGCCATTGGGTGGCTTCAGTCACATGGACTTTACCCACTGAAGCCAGTGGGACGATGATGATATATTGCTGAGATGCCTAACCTCCAAAGTTAAAATCTATTAAAACCAAATGACTCACCTAGAGAATTCCTATTAGTCTTCTCTGGGCCACACCCCCCTCCAAAAGTTGCCTTCTTGTCCACTCACCACCGAAACTAGAAGAATTTGGCCCTCAACTCAAGTGGCTCAGGAGCAATGAATCCATGGCAACCACCTCCGGAGGCCCCATTGCAGCAGGTTAGGTGGTCACTTTCTGTTCCATTTCAGAACGTCTCTGAGAATCTGATTCCTGCTGCCACTGAGATGTATCTAGGAAGGACAGATGACCTGGTGGAAAAGAAGAGCCTGTTCCTGGACTTGATGGCAGATGTCATGTTTGGTGTTCCGTCTGTAATTGTGGCCCGTAGTCACAGAGGTGAGTCTGGAGAAAGGAGTAGGACCATGAACTCGCCAGACAGATCTCTAGCCTTTGCCTTTCATCATAAAAAGATATGAAGTCTGCTCAGGGTCAGGTCTTGAAGGCCAGTTCCCTATGTGAGTTTTAGTATTGTTTCTGCCGGTAAGTGCCTGGGAAAAAAAGGTTCACATGCAATTTAATCTAAGAGATGATGCCAGCAAACACTCCAGAGAGATGAGAAAGTGACCTGGAGACCAACCTGATGAATGGGTCCTGAGCCATCTTTATAGCCCCATGGATTATTCTTTTAATATGTTGTTGAATTATATTTGGTTAAATATCATTGGAGATTTTGAGTTCTATGATCATGAAGGATATTGAACTGTAATTTTATTTACCTGTAGTGTCTCTGCCCTATGTGAGCATCAAGCTAATGATACTCTCAGTAAAAGAATTTTACAGATATTTGGGAAGAATCTAAGGATTAGTACCATAAGCTCTTCCCTTTAATTTTGTTGTTCTGTTTATCAGTGAAATTGTAATAATCTGATTTTTCATTGATGGGAGACTTCTAATTACAGATACGGTCTCCTTATTCCATACTGATCTGTTCAGATTGACCATTTCTTCTTGTTTCTGTTGCCATTTTGGCTTATTAGGGCAGTTGTTTACCTGTTTTAGTCATCGGTCAGCTGGTCAGGGGTGCTTTGGTCTGTCCAGATATTAATCCAGGAGAGATTCTTCAAGCACCGGTCTCTAGCAGCTCTGGTGTTTGGCAGCCTTGACTGTGGGTGTAGGCAGGCGGGGTCAAGCAGTGGGCAGCCTCTCATGTTACAGCCGTGCCTGCTGGGAAACAACACGACACACATGCCGTCCTTAGTCCTGCAAGCGGTTCAGCTCCTGTCTAGGCCCAGGAAGCCCGGTCTCCCCAGTCCTTTGCTGCTGTCATTGAAGCTTCTGCAAAAGAAGAAAGCTGGTGGGTATAGGCATCTAAATTCCTCAGGTTTTAGCATGAACCAGTATTGCAGCTCTTGTGTGGGCCATGAGTGTAAAGTTCCTTATCCCATAATACTGGTCAATGTCACAGCTCTGGCTCTGGACCCAGGGTCTGAAACCCTTGGCCTAAAGGACTTGATGTCTTTTGTAAAAATCATCTGTCAGCCAGGGTCTGCAGTCTTCCTTTTCTAGCACTTTACTGTCTATATCCCCCCTCGACCCAGGTTCCCTACCATCTCCTGCTAACTCTCCTTCCACTGTCTTCCTGGCCTGGCTGTTCTCAAGCTGCTCAGCTGCTTCCACTTCAGCAGCTCAACCTGTCAACACCTCTACTGCTGGGGCCTTTGCTGTGGCTCTCCATTGTCACTTTCTTTGTGCTACAGCGCTGCCTGCATGACCGAATTAGGCAAGAGAAGAGCTCTTCAAAGTCTCACACTAGAGCTGATGTTTCAGTACTGGAGGAGGGAGTATATGCGAGCATTTCTCAGCCATATCACCAAGTAAGCATGCTAGCGTCCAGAGAAGGTGTATTTGTGTCAAGAGGTCTTAGGTCTTCTCCACTAGTCGCAGTGGCCATCTGCTATGTGGCCAAGAGAACTGCTGCTCCTCTGACCTGGGTGGACATGGCCTTAGGACCATCTAGAGTTCACTAGTGGTGTGACAGCAAAATGTCTGGGACAAGCTATTTCAAACTGCCTTGGTGATGCTGAACCCTCAGTAGCCCCTGCTCTCAGTTTTTTTCACTGTTTGTTCATCTCAAGGAATCTGTGGAATATTTAAGTAGGTTGATGATGACTTAAGTGTTGTTTAGCTGGCTGAGTGACAGTCCTTTAGCCTAAGGACGCCAGTACCACAAAAGGGACCCCAACAGTTATATTAGAGAGTCAAGAGGTTCCCCCTTCACCATATTTGCTTATTGACAGGAAAACTGACAGGAGGAGGGCTCCCAATAGCCAACAGAACATATCATTGACACTAATGATGGTTGTAACCATCTTAAACACTTCCCCACCACACTAGTTCATGGAAGTCCCCTTAAATGACACAATTCTTTCCGTTATCCAATTCTTATGCATCTATTTGTCTGTAGTGGCCTCTTTTGATGCTGGGATGGTTCAACAAACATATTCTACCACATCTGTTGAACATGGTTCAACAAATTAACAAACTTAATCCACCACTTAAATAGACTAAAGAGCAGAAACCACATGATCATCTCATTAGACACAAAAAATGCCTTTTACAAAATTCACCATCCATTCATGATTCCCGGAAAGAATAGGGATACCAGGGAACATTCATCAAAATGATAAAGGCAGTTTTCAGGAAGCCCATAGCCAATATCATTCTAAATAGTGAGAAATTCAAAGCATTCCCATTATAGGCTTATATAGGGATCCTTAACTGAGAGCCACACCCTAGCTCCTGGGACCACTTTCCTGCCATCAGGAACTCACGAGGGTCTCATGCTCAGAGCAGCTGCAGGCACAGGAAAACAAGTTGTTTACTCCATTCACTCCAGCAGGCAAAGGGTCAAGTCAAGGGGCCAAGGGTCTGCAGCCCCCAACAATGGTGATCTTACACTTGGGCCAAGCACACAGATGGATATGAAGCATGAAACCTCCAGTTTCTGCATAGATTTTGAAAATCTAATTATCCTAATTTTCAGAGAGGCAGCTTGGGTTTTCTTCATCCTGCTCTACAGGGCTAAGAAAACCCTAAGGATGCTCAAAGGCTTCTGGAGAAAAGACAGCCGTGTGGTTCTAGACTGTCCTTGAACCAAGGCACAGCTACATTATCATTAACACACATCTGTGTATTTATTACATGCAGGGATGGCATTCATTGTTCATTCGATAAACACCTGTTCAAATTCTAATTCCACATCAACCAGCTGTGCAGCTCTAAACAAGCCACTCTTAAAACTATGTTTATCTCCTCTGTAGATGAGGCATGTATTCAACTGCAGAGCCTGAGTAGTGTGTCTGGAAATGTGACCTGTGCATGAATCCATGTCTCCACAGATGCTGGAGCCCCTACCTACATGTACGAGTTTCAGTATCGGCCAAGCTTTGTATCAGACAAGAGACCCAAGTCTTTGATAGGAGACCACGGTGACGATCTCTTCTCAGTATGGGGGGCCCCGTTTTTAAAAGGTATCTTTGTTGGCTATGACGTTGGTGGTGTGAATTCTGGGTTTGGGTCCTGGTTTGATGGCCTTGAGTGAGTTTCTCCTTTTAAACTGACTTGCATGATACTCTGAAGCAGGGCTCAGCTATAAGACAGTTTCCACTTAACACACATGAATGATTGTGTTTGCACATCCCCATCCATAGTCATCCTCAGAATCCTGACTTGTGACACCAGAAAAGATCTGATGGTCCATATACGTCCTGCTTAGGGCAAAAAGGCGTGGTTTGATTTTCCTCCTGTGAGAACATTGGATCAGGACAGGAAATTTGAAATTTTGCTAACCTTAACAAGGCCTATTTAGTTTCTTTCTATCTGGCTATCTATATATCTAAAACACATCGTATATTTATATAACTCATATTATATGATAAGGGATGCTTTTGCAAAAGGTCTCCAATACCTTTTTCTCAGCAACTGTGTGTAACTAGTGATCTCTTACAATATACCACTGTCTCTGGGAGTGTCCAAGCTGTATGGACCCTTAGGCCCTTGGCAATTCTGATCATTTCAGAATATGTGAACAAGAGAATAAGACAGTAATAACATATCTAAAGGCCACCAACCTGGCTAAGTCAGAGGTAACCAACTATCATTGACATTGTACACCAAGAGGAAAGCTCCAGGCAGCTGAACATGGAAGATAAAGGCAGATAGCTTACAGAATAAAGATATCTGAACTTTAAAAGTGTGGGCCTGCTCAAGCAAGAGTGTCATAAAAATTAGATTTGGACTCCATAAGTATGTGATAAGGGCCAAGGCTCTTCATCTCTCCCATCCGAGTACTAACCAGACTCGACCACACTTCGTTTCTGAGATCAGAAGAGATCAGATGCACTGAGGGCAGTGTGGCCAGACAAAAGATTGTATTTCTTACAGTCTCCCTGTGTTGCGCTTGTTCTGTCTTGTAATCCAAGTCTTAAATAGTTAAAGCATCTTCCTTTTTCCTCCACAGGGGGCTCCTCAGAAGAGGAGATCAACTTCAGCAAGATGGTGATGAAATTCTGGGCCAACTTTGCTCGGAATGGGTGAGTTTGGAGATACGGTGTGAAGACTCATAGCTTTTGGGAATGAGAGTTTTTTAATGCTTGAGTGATCAACCCCCTTTCAATAATCTCTTACAGATTATGAGACTGGGGTTAGTCAGTTTTGTAGGTGTGACGATATCTGTGAGATAGTTCAGTTTGAAAGATGAATTGTGAAATTTGGCTCACAGACCAGAGGTTCCAATTCTTGGGCACTTGGCTGTTCCCTCTGGTCCTGTGTCAATACAGATATTATGCTGGTAAATAGGATAGATCAAAGGTTCATACGTCCTGTTGATTAGAAAGTAGACATAAAGGATAGAGCCAAGGTTCCAATACTTCCTCCAGCTTGGGGATGCTCTTAAATTTTCCATCAACTCCCAATAGCACCATCAGATGGAAATTAAGACACATATGTTTTTAGAGGAATATTTAAGCTCTAAATATCTAATATCATAACCTGTGACCTGCAGAGGCTCATGCCCATCACACAATCTCAATATTTCCAACATTAATTAGAAGTTCAAGTCAATGACTTCCTCAGGCTCACAGGAACTCTTAGTTTTGAGTCTCCGTTGCAATAAAGCAGTAACATTTCCAAGATCCAGTGACAATGTCCACACATTCCTGTCACATGGAAGAACAGGAACATGCCACCGAGGGATTGTACCAAAGCAAGTCCAAACTACAAGAGGCAAATCGTAACTGCTGAAGCGTCTAGGGGTCTGTTGGTAGGTGTAGGCTCTTGCTAGGGAAACTTCTCTGTGGTCTTGCTGTCTGCACCTCCAGCACCTCTTTGGGACTGGCTGATCTTATGGTCTGAACATTTCCTAGGCAAATGTTCCTGGCCCTGCCAGTTCTAATTTGCTGGGGTCTCCATAGCAAATCAGCTTCACCCTTGAAATGTCATGTAACATTCTCTCAGCATTGCTAGCAGGGGCTGAAAGCCTTCCACACACTTGCTGGCCTCCCAAACCTTCATTTGAGAGCAGGTAGAAAGAAGCCTTGATGGCTCTATTAGCCTCGTATTCTGCATGCTTCCAGAACAAGCACCACATAGACAATGCCGAAATGCAATTCTGGTCTCTGAGATTTGTCAGGGATCAATGAAACAGAGCTGTAGCAGCTTCCAAGTCTCTGGATGTGGGAAAATAAATTCAGGAGAATCAGTTCCTTAGGTCACTTTGTGAGGCAGGAGGTGGGAGCAGGGATCCCTAGTGCTGTCTTCTCAAAGCAAATTCTTCAAAACTATTTTATATTGAAAGCCTGCAATGGGCTGATTTGTGGCTTCCTAAGTCATCCTTAAAGTAACTTCCCTTTCTTCTTATACAAAACAGACTTGATTCTAGAGCACTAATCCACTGAGCAACAGAACTGTCCTTGTGCACAACTTTAAGCATGCTCCTTGTTTGGAAAAAGTCAAGATTTCAAACCTTTATGCTGTGATTTCTGACCCTAAATCTTAGTGTAAACAAATTACAATCAGCAGAAAGTACCATTGCTGCTGCCTGCAGGCTGTGCTCCCTAAAGTTCCTCCTGCTAGTTAAATAGTGCATGAACTTTGGACTCAGGCCTCATAAAATTTCAGGGAGTGGACAAAATATAGATAATTTCATTTCGACAAAGGAACATGGGTGGTTTCTAATATGGTTCCTTACAAAGACCTTATTCCCACGTGAGTGATCAGAATATTGACTTCTCTGTTCTTTCTCCCATTAGCTCCCTCTGGACCACACCGTAAGCCTCACTAACTGTATTCTGGGCATTTTGCGGTACATTCACCAAACATTTCCAAACTCTTTACGAACCAACTAAAATGTCTTCTAAACTGTATCATCGGATTAATTAGATAATGTCCCACATCTCAGTAACAATTTCATGTATTAGCTTTGGACCAACTCCAAGGATGAAAGTTTATTTTGGATTCTGAGTTATGCTTGGACTTTTTATTTGGGGTCAGTGATGAGGCAGAACATCATAGTAGGGATAGTTTGTGTAAAAAGCTCCTGTCTGTCGACAGAAAGGAACAGAGAGCTAAAGGAATAGAGTCTGAGCACTCCTCAAGACCAGGTCTTCAGGGACCTGATTCCTCCAGCCAGGGTCCACTTCTTAATATTTCTACTTATGCCCAGCTAGGTATCAGCCTGAATCACACGATGAAAATTTAGTATCCAAACCACAGTGTGAATGTTCTTTAAATGAACAGGCTCTCCCAGATGGGTTATAGAGACTTGTCCATCTGTGGAAGGTTACTGCTTTCTTGGCAGAAGTAACCATGGCAGCCTTGCACATGGGGAGAGCACAGTTGATTTGGTGACTTTCTCTTTTAACTCTGTTCACAGGAACCCCAATGGGGAAGGGCTGCCCCATTGGCCACAATATGACCAGAAGGAAGGGTACCTGCAGATTGGAGTCCCATCACAGGCAGCTCATGGACTGAAAGAGAAGGAAGTGGCCTTTTGGACTGATCTCAGGGCCAACGAGGCAGCAGAGAGGTCAACCCAGAGGAAACATGTTGAGCTCTGATGAGGAGGCCCAGCCCGGCGGAGAGCCGGGAGCCAGAGAAAGGAATATTCTATGTAGACATTTTGCTTGTTGGCTTGTTGTTTGCTCAACAAAACAAGGCATCTGACTGTTGAGTGTGTAAACTCTTTGATATATTGTACAAACAAAAAGAGGTGGTGGTGGTTGTGCTCTCGTTTATTTTTTTCTACAACAGTGAAAATCATAACTTTGTAAATCAAAAAGAGTCTGTGTACTTGACTCAAGATGAACGTGTGTGTCTGAGAGGGAAGGTGGAGAAGAGATCCAATGTCCTGCGATATCATCTCCACAGGCAGTGGGTAGGGGACTGACTTTCCTGCATCACACTGAGGCACAGATGAGATGTCACTGGGCCACTTGTTCCTGGGGAAACATGAACAAAGGCCCACTCACTCCAGAGTGGGGAGGAATGGTAGGTCAAAAGAATAATTCCACACAAGTCTAGCCTGGAGAACTAATGAGTTTATCAGCCTTCCTTGTGTGAGTGAGGGGGTCTCATATCAGTGTACTGAGAAAGTAGCTGCATCATGAAAATCCTCCCTGAGCATGGTGGACAACTACCCGGAGCTGCTGAGATGGCATCCCACCCTCAGCTAACAGTCCACTCTGTATTTCCTCTAGCACACTGGGAGGTGACACAGCTGGAGCAGAATAATATGCAGCAGGGGTGGGATGGCAAAGGGAGTGAGCAGACTCTGCTGAGGATCACCTGTGCTGAAGCATCTCCAGCTGGATTCCATACTAGTTGTGGGGCAATTTACAGGAGTATAGTCAACCTATCAGTGGCCACACCCCCTAAAGGAACAGACATTCCCCATCCTAGCAATCAGAAACTTTCCAAGGGGTCTAAGCTAGTGGTGGGGGCTCGTGGCTCCTCCCCTCCATGCTGGAATGTTGACTGGCTTGATCTCCTGCAGGCAGCCACAGCTGCTGTGATGTCTGGAATGCATTGGTCCTGTCATGGCAAAAAGACATGATTTTGCTTCAATTCCCCCTGACCCGTAGCTCTACAATCCCTCCTCCCCTCTTCCACAATGACTCCTGAGTTTTGGGAAGGGGCAGCACAGATTCCCCAATTGTGCCTGAGTACCTCATTGACGCATGCTCTCTTTACATTGCACTTGTTGCTGGGACCTGGAATCAGTTCCCAGCAGCCACACAGGGACAAGAACCTGTAACTTCAGTTCTAGAGAATCCAAGTCCTCTTCTGGCCTCCACAGGCACAGCAGACACACGATGCACAGAACAGCATTCAGACAGAAACCTTACAGACACAAAATAAAATTGAACAACACTCAAAGAAAAGATATACATTTAGAAGGCAGTTTGATATTATTTCCATTTATCAGGTATTAGTAATAGGATCACCCTCAGTGCCTATGAGCTCCCCAATCATGGGTTCTTGGTCAGATTTAGAGTAGCAGGTATGAGTTTCCTCCTGTGCAGCAGACATTAAATCTGATTAGAAGGTAGTTGATAACTCCCATAACATTCATGCCACTATTGACTCTATGGGTCATTATTGTAGGTCACAAGGTTCATTGATAGGTAAGACTGTCCAATACCATCAAAGCAAGCCAGTAGAGTGGCAGCTTCCTGCTTTGTACCAACTTGATTTCTCCTGCCATGTGACCAATGGATGTGTGTGGTGTTTTTAGTAACAGGGTCTTCCTGCCAATTTTTGTTGGGCTACCAGAGCAGTGGCAAGAACCTGTACTCTTTTGGGGTTCTCCCAGACACACTTGGCTTACAACTTTAGTGGAGGAATCCTATAACTGGAATTGGGTTTTTGTTTAGTAAATTATTGCTTCTTAGAGGAGTGCTAGTCTCTATGTAGGGTAACTCAATTAATATATTTTATATGAATATAGATATATATCATAAAATATTTACTTGTCAAAAATCTTTGTTATTAATCACCACCACTGCCAATTCTTCCTTTACCCTCTCCTTTATCCTTCTCCTCACGTAATCCCCTCCCATTATCCCCCTTCCCTAACCCATTTTTCCTTTGTTTTACAATCTCCTCTCTGACTAAGATCTTCCTTCTCACTCCCACAAATGGTACTTTTCTGAATTCTATAGCTAGTCAAAATTAAACACAGAAATCTAAAACGTTGACACTAAGATATATAATGAGTGATAACGTATGACCTTTATCTTTCTGGGTCTGGGTTACCTCACTCAGAATGATTATTTTCTGCTCCATTCACTTACCTGAATATTTCATAATTTTATTTTTATAGCTGAATAAAATTCTATCATACAGAGGTATCACATTTCATTATTTATTTATCAACTGATGGGCATACAATCTCTTTCCTTATCCTAGCTATTGGGAATAAAGCAGCTACAAATATAAATGAGGTTATGTCTCTATAGTAGAAAATAAAATGCTTGGGCTATTTACCAAGGAGTTGTACATGTCCAAGGGTCACATGATAGATCTGTTGCTAATTTGGGGGAAAGTGGCACACTGATTAAGGAAGAGAACTTGGGGAGGCAGGCTGATGGGATACGTGTGGTCTGAAAGAACAGGGACGAGGTGGGGAAAATAAGAGAACTAGCAATGACAGGGTGGAGCAAGAAGTGCCGAGTGGACAGTGGAAATTAGAGAACCTCTAATGACACATCGAAGAAAAGGCTGTACTGAAACCCGTCATGAAGCACGATTAATAAAAACCCACAGAAGAAACTGGGCTTCAACCAGAAGACCAGAAAAACAAAGCAGCCAGCCACTGGCCCTTACATCAACCTCAGTTCGAAAATGGTGATCCCTGCCTCCAGGAATCTCAGAACAATACTATGACTGAGAGCTGTCTCCTCCCGTTTTATAATCCTCTCTATTGCTGGGATTTAAGGCATGCACCACTGGGATAAAAGTCATGCACCGCCCGGTATTTATGGCAAACTAGTGTGGCTACTGGGATTAAAGGTGTGTGTTACCACTGCCTGGTCTGTAAGACTGATCATTGGGGCTGGTTTGCTCTCTGATCTTCAGGCAAGATTTATTTATTAAATTACAGATGAAATGCTGCTACACCGTGACTTGAAAATAATCTTTCAAAAGACATTTGTAGAGCTTAGAATCCTTAGCGCAAACCTTGTTTCTAACAGCTAAAGCATCAGAAATAATGTTGTATTTCTTGATTTTTTTTTCCACTGCTATGTGTAGGAAGTGGAAAAGGTTCAGTCTTCTACCCAAGAAGACTAAGCTCACAATCTCCTCAGCAGCTAGATGTAGCTTTTACTTCCCAGTTTTTTTTTTCCTGCAGAAGGAATGTCAGACATTTTAGCAAATACTTGAGAATGAGCAAACATAATTGAATGCACAGTGATTAGAACAGAAAGGGATGGATCGGTTCAATGTGGGAGTAGTCCACCCTCAGATGCCTGCTCTACAAGCTAGTGTCTTCCCTCACAAGACGGTGGGGCAGTAGTACATAGGTGCTCTTGACAGAAACACTAAAGGCAACTCAGACAGTAAAGGAGGCAGACAAGAGTTTAAGGTTGCTTCCAAGCACGAGATTTTAGAACTCTAGGAAATACACATGCAAGAATGTTAAACTGCGAATCCAAATCTTGGAGCTAAGGTGTTCAGAGGCCTTGAGTTGCTCTAAAATCTCCCATCCCTCTCTGGGGATGCAAAACCAAAGCATCTTCTGCCTGCTAAGCTAGTCTCTGCCTCTGGATGGCTCACAACACTGAGGTTTGACTGCCACAGGGAGAAAGCTTATGTAAGAAGTCCTTGGGTTAGTTTATGGACCTCTGTTATCTGAGAGTTGGGCAATGACTTTGCAAAAAAGAGAGAGTGAAATCCAGGTGGGTGTGGCTTAGAGGTCCCACTAGAGGCCCAGAGAGCTCTGGGTCAGGGATTTTCATTTGGTTGTTTTATGTAAATTGGCAGAGTGGGCAGGACTTCAGGGGCTGATAAAAAGCTGTGGGCAGGACCAGTGCTTTCCCTCCAACAACCAGGCACCTCACTGGACCCTGAGGTACTGTCCTTCCATGATGTGGCTCTGTGCTTTAGTCCTGATCTCTCTCACTGCTTGCCTGACTCAGGGTGAGTACTCTTGGATAAAAGCCCAAGGCACACATTTGAAATTCTCTTGGGCACTCGTTCATGGAGCTGCATGTGGAAAATGTGGGGAAAACAGGCCTAGTTTCTAGGAGGTGTTGCTAATTCAAACCCTCTAGCTACAGAGGGGACACATATTCTAAGCCTCTTCATTCTATATCAGGGGCAGAGAAGGTCCTGGATAACCTCCTGCCTCTGTAGCAGGAGTTAATAATTTACCTCCTATTCTTTGTCTAGGTCTCATGGGCCATGGAGAAAAAGCTAACCAAAATATTGAAAGCATAAACAACAGTAACAGAAAGCAGGGGTACATCCTAGCTTGTGTCTGGACTCTGTGTTCTTGGGTAAGGGACTACGCTTTACAGCCTAGACTACTGTGTTTCTAACACAGGGACACCAACATCTTCCTCACTTAGCTGCATGAAGCTGAAATGAGCGGCTGTGCCCATAGCAGTCCAGGATGCAGCCTGCTCTAGAGGAGATGTAGAAATGCAGCAGACTCACAGAAAACTTGGCATGTAAATCATCATACCAAGTGCAGCTGGTCATTGAAGAGATGATTATTACTGAGAAAAGCACACACCAATGTGGTGGAGCAGCAGGGAAACACTGGGGTCAGAAGGCCAGGGCAGAGTGGAAACTGGTGGAAAAGATCTTTGTCGTGGTTTATCCTGGAAAGAAAGAAGGAAGCAGAGGACAGTGGTGTAGCCTTGGCTGGTTAGGGCTGTTTCAAGGGGTTCAGGGATGTAAAGGCTGGACTTGTTTTTCTGGTATCTAGTTTTAAATTATCAAGACAGGTTTGATACCCAGGGCAGTAGACCCAGTATGTCTCTGCAGTGGTTGGACCCCAAGAGTGACAGTTCACCCCAATAAACAGAGCTTCAAATGTCAAAGCAACAGGTATAAAAATCAGATCCATGGTCAGTGCAGGGGTCTAATGTGGGGCTTTGGCAACCAACTGTGGGCATGAGGTTCCCAGGGGAAAGTGCTCAATTAAGGTCTTCAGGAATCATACCCAGCTCTCTCTGGCTGCAGAATCTACTACCCATTAAGGGCAGTGGTAATACTGGCACTTCAAGACTTTGTCTTGTGTCTGGCTGTGTGGCATTTTGAGAGTCTGGGAGCAGATTGTGAAGCAGGATGAGAAAGGGTTCAGATTTGGAGTTAAACATTCCTGTGCTGCTGTTTTCCATGGCAACGACCTCCTCATTTCCATCGTCAGGAAGGTCAGCCAGGCTGCTTGTGATTCCTCATCTCTAACAATGGACTTGAGAGCTGCCACCATCAGGGGTTTGGTGAAAAAAGAAAACTGTGAAAAATTGTCAAGTGCATGTGCCATACGCTAGGTAGTCAAATAATCACACATTCCATACTCCATAGCTGCCAGCGTCTGTAGCCCCATTCATGCCTCTGTCTCTATGTCCACATTTCTACTCGGAGCAATCTTACTTTCTACACACCTCAGTTGGGTGGCTAACGATCTTGAGTTGACACAGGCCACACCTAGTAATTGCAGCCCAGACTACTCAGCTTTTCCGAACTCTTGGCAACCTCTCTCTCCTTCTCACTTGGGTCACTAGTACTTTGTGCTTCTTTCTCCTGCTATGGTTCTCAGTCTCACATTAGCTCTTCCCAGTGTATAAACTTTTGATCTTTTTGACTCTTTCACATTGTTCTGCTCAGATGCATAAGTCATGATGTGTACTCTCATTTTCAAACAGATAACTAGCTGCCCACCACTGCCCACCTTCCAGCATTGAAATGTCTCCAGATCTCTTCTTAATTCTTTCCCGTAATTATAAAATGGCATTCTAGTACAGATACAGATGTCTTGGTTTCACACAAAATAACAATGCTAATACCCATGGACATTTCAACACACATACTTGGTAAGAAAGTCATCTCAGTGGGACGGTGACCTAAAAGCAAAGGGAACAAACATGAGATTTTTTATTAGTAAATCAAGACATGGACACATTCCATTTTATTTCATTTAAAATATTTATTTTATTTATTTTAAAATAAATAAAAATATCCATTATATTTTCTGAGGTTAAAACTATTACAAAATTTCTCCTTTCTCTTTCCTTTCTGAAACCATACTACATAACTCTCTGTTTTTTTCAAATTCATAGTCTCTTTTTTTGTTACTTGTTGCTATACATACACATACACTCCTATATACATAAATACAATGAGATCAGTCTGTATAATATTACTTGTGTGTATGTTTCCAGAGCTGGTCATTTGGTATTTGATAACAAACTGGTGTGCCCATCCTTTGGAAAGACTATTTCTCTTGCTCTGAGCGTTTCTTAGTTTCTTGTTATTCTTTGTGTGGGATTGAGGTCTCCTGGTCCTCTCTTTGTCCACCAGGACACCCATCCTCACCACCCGTGGTAAACACCATACATGGCAAAGTCCTGGGGAAGTACGTCAGCTTAGAAGGATTCGCACAGCCTGTGGCCGTCTTCCTGGGAGTCCCCTTTGCCAAGCCCCCTCTTGGCTCCCTGAGGTTTGCTCCACCACAACCTGCAGAGCCCTGGAATTTCGTGAAGAATGCCACCTCCTACCCTCCTATGTAAGTTACTGGGGTGAGCCTGGGTCTCTTTAAGTGGAGATGTCTGTCTCAGTGTGGTGCAGGAATGAGTCAAAGGAATCTTATGATTGGCTATACTTTCTTTTAAATTTTGATCACTTTTTTCTATTATTGAAAATAGATTTTTATATAACATATCCTGATTATGGTTTCCCTTCTTCTAACTCCTCCCAGCTCCTCCACACCTCCTTTTTCCTTTGGATGCATAATCTTTCTGTCTCTTGTTAGAAAACAAACAAGCATCTAAGAAATAAATGATAAAGTGCAGTAAGATAAAACAGAAACAACAAATTGGAATAGGACCAAACAAACAGAAGAAAAGGAGCCAAAGAAAAAGTGTGAGTAACACCTATAGGTGCAGAGAAACACATGTTCACACACATGGGAACTATAAGTACAGAGAAACACATGCTCACAAACATGGGAACTCCACAAAAACAAAACTGGAAACCCTTTTATGGCTTCATTTTAGGAGCAGTATGGAAACCTAACAGAGTAGAAGCTTCTTCATGTACATACCTATAAGGCAATCTGAGTGAAATTGCCAAGTAACAGGAGAGACAGATCCCCGACTAGACACCTCTCATAACCAAATAC